GGTTGCATCTTTTCGAAAAAAATGATTTATTGTTATTAATGCATTATAGAGTTGTGTCTTTAAAAAAACTGATGTATAGTTACAATGTATCATATGATTGTGTCTTTACGGAGAAATTTTATTTTATGGTTATTAATGCATTTTAAGGTTGCGTCTTTTCAAAAAAAAAAATTGTTTAATAGTTATTAGTAAATTTTAGGATTGTGTCTCTTTAAATAAAACGGTTTTATAGTTATTAACGAATAATACAGTTGTGTCTTCTTTAAAAACTTTGTTTTATGGTTATTACTCAATTATAGGATTGTGTAACGTTCTCATAATTTTTTTGGTGCTTTTTCATTTATAACCAGTTTTTTATAGTTCAAAAAAATAGTTTGCGATTTTGTGGGATGGTTTGAGTCCGACAAAATGAAAAAGCAGTTACCTCGTGTAGAGTTCACCTTTAAACTGGGCATACCACACAGAATTTTGTCGTTATAACCGAACCAAAGAAAAGAATTTAAACGACCATGGAGCATAGAAACACATGAGAAGATGTAACTTACATGCATCTAATATATGCATTACACATGAAAAGAATTTAATGCATATATATTATAATTCATGGCATTACCAGATTACTATTTTAAAAGGAAGCCCAAATTGGTTAACAACTAGGATTATACCCGGTGCTACGCACCGGTAAGTTTACCATTATCAATTGATTAAATTAATAATATTAAAAACAATAAAATTGAGAGCAATTTGTTCTAATTTTTTATTAGTTTTAAATATTTTATAAAAACACCAATTTTTCTATTAATTATGATATAAAAAGATGATTTGTGTTTTGATAAAATTACTTCGGTACAATTTTCAAAATTATGAATCGTGCTGATAGATAAAAATTGTTAAAATACATTGAAAAATTATTATATAGTTCTATTCTCTAGTCGACTAACAATCTCTTATACTGTTATACATCAAACATATAAATCTACCGAACAATACTACATTTATATATATTATCAGAACCAACAACATTGAAATATAATAAGAATATAAATAAACTCCAAAATAAAAGTTATTAGAATTGTAAAAATATAAATAAACTCAAAAATGTTTATTTTCTATGTCATTAATTCTTTTGATGTTGTCTAATTTTGTTTCTACTACATATATACATCGTCTCAACATTTTCATTAAACATGCTCTTATATAATTATAAGAAAATCAGAATATATTTAAAATGGTTGAAGGATATCAATAAGAAGTTCAGTAAACAAAAAAAAAATTTAAGAAGTTCACTAACCTTTTACTTCGTAAGAAATGGTTGAAAATATGTCATTGTAAAAATCTTTCAAGTTGCTTACTGGCAATCGCACGTTTCATAACTTTTCAGGTCTCTAGAAAATTCAAAACTATGTGAAAAAAATAAATAGACGAAGGGAGTAAGATACAAAGCAGTTAAAATCATATGATGCAGATATGTCAAAAAGATAATAAAAAAGGAAGATTCACCTTCGATAAAAGTTTATGCGACCTAAAGCAGAGGTAAAAACTATAGAAAATGAGTTTGTAGAGTCGAGAAGGATAGAGCAACTGGCGAGAAATTAGTGTTTTATAAATCTAGAAAAAATGTAGTTAACTGGGATCCCATAGATCTTTGAAAAGATAACCATAACAATTTACTTTGTTTGCCATAATCCATGATGTTACTATATTTTGTTTGAATTTAGTTTTGTTGGTAAAAATAAGCTGATAATTTTTTAGAAAAGAAAAAAAAAGATCGTGGAGTTGGGGCCTCCTTTAATTAAGCGTTTAATTAATTTGCTTTTTTATTAATATTTTTAAATCTTAAATTCATGTTTCTGCTGACATGTAACATTTTTATCCTGTGGTGTGACTTGTGTGATTTAGTATATTAAGGATAGTGAGCGGGAGACAATCTGAGAGACTAGAATGGCGAAGAGAGAGATTAGTGGGACTCTGAGAAACCTTAAGGTACCAAATCAAGGTTCCGACTAGCGGCTGGCTGCAAATTATTCGACAAGTTGAATTCGTTCTAATTTTGTTTATCTGTATATTGATTGTATGTGGTGATTAGAATCTCATTTTGAGATTCTCAATTCGAGTGGGGTCTATAATTGGAATCTTCACTGAAGAAATTGCGTAACTGCTTTAAGATGAACCATATATATAGCTCGAGCTTGTGATTTAATTTGATGAATCTTCGAAACGTGCTATTTACTCAGCTGGTGATTCCATATGAGATCACAAGTAAATTAATGAACTAATAATGTTTAATTGCTATGTAGTTTATGCAAAGGGCTCTTCTGAAAGTGGAGACAAAGAAGAATGACATAGAGCCAAAAGATAACCTTACAGTCTCTCAGTTCCGTTAGAAAGAAGTGGTATTGTGTCGATTTTTCTCGGTGTTTGATGTTTTAATGTTGTTTTGTCTGTCCTTATGTTCTTGTTCCTTTAGGCCCTTGACTTGATTACCAGCAAATCTAATCAATTTCAGTCGTTTTGGTTTGCCTTTGTTCATTTATCTGAAAACAAAACTCTATACCAATGGAAGCCGATGTGTGTTCTTTGTATCGTTGCAGTGTGTTCATTACCGATGGGGATCCTCAGCCAGGAGCATTGGTTGGACGTATGTCATTTCAGTCTTTTAATCCTTCTATCGAGGTGAGTGAGAACTGACATGTTTGCAGTAAACAAGAGTGTATGTGTTGTGAGAACTGAAACAGAACTGGTCTTGTTGTAGAAACTGAACGAAGAGGCATTAAACGGTCAAAGAACAGATGGTTTCATTGCAAGTTGTAGCAGTAAAGAAGCAAAAATGTCTTTAAGGTCTGTACCTTCACGTTTCATATTTGTTTTATTATCAGGAAAATTCATCTACCCAAGGGTACTCATTGCCCTCAGCTTCTGAGTAAGGAGGCCTAAGTTTTAGCCGATCATCTAATTTCGGGAAAAACAAACAAAACAACGAGTCAAAATGCATTTCTGATTTTAGCAGTGGAGTCTAGAGAGAAACTTATCGTTTCTGATTTTGCGTTGTTGAATTGTAATCAGTCAAAATGCATCCTGTCTCGATGAGCCGGAATGTACGAAGGTCGAGAGCCTAGTCGAGAATCAAACAGTGAGATGAAAAGAAAACAGTCCGAGGTACTGTCTGAACAGCACTATCCAAACAAGTTTCGGAAAAATGGAAAAGGCAATGCCTTTAAACACCAAAAGGGCAAGAAGGTGGACTGGAGCATTCTGAAACCATCAAAAACTCAAAACCAAAACCGGTTAATTAAGCTGACTGTGATATCTGTTTAACAGTTAGCTCACATGTGTTCTTACGTGCTAGTAGATCATACGCTTGCAATGTCTGTAGTATCATCATATAAAGCTGATTTGCTACCGGTTTGTTAAACTATAACAAAGTTGC